TTCTGGTTAGCAGCCGAGTGCTTAACCAGTGCGCCAACAGGGCTACTCAAGAATATGTTGAAATCCACAATTACAGTGGGAGATTTTATCTTTCCTCTCTCTGTAACAAAATAAGCCAACAACAAAAATAATCAGTAAGGATACAAGAGATATGACTAACACAATTAACAAACTTAACCTGTTAAATTTATGTGGAACACTGCACTCGACAACTGCAGGATACATCTTCTTTTCAAGCATATACAAAGCATTTACAAAAATTGTCCAGACTTGACTATAAAGCAAATCTCAGTGTGTTTCAGAAGACTGAAATCATATTGAGTCTCTCCTCTGATCACAGTGCAGTTAAACTAGAAATTACTAATAAAATGATAAATGTAAGGAAAAAGGATAAAGAAATCAGTCATCTAAAAATCTATTTCAAAAAGTTAGAAAAACAACTTAATTTGCTTGATTTACCCAAGCTGACTAGAGTAGCTATCCATCAGAATCAACTCGACAGCAACAGGTTTGGTTAGGGTTTTTTTTGTTTTTACTTTATTTTACTCAAAAGTAGAAGGAAGGATATAATAAAAGAGCAGAAATTACTGAATTGTGAAACAAACATAGAGAGCAATAAAGCCAAAACTTTGTTCTTTGAAAAGACCAGTAAACCTCTTACTGATCAAGAGAAAAAGAGAAAAGACACAAATAACCAGTCAGGAATGACAAATGGGATATTAGTACAAATGCTAATGCTATTAATGAATTGTAAAAGGGTATTGTGAATAAAATGTATGCAAAAAGTTTGAAATTTTAGATGAAATAGAATCTCAGAAAAATATAATTTGTCAAAATGAACACAGAGGAATTAGAAAATATAAGTACTCTTATAATTATTAAAGACAGTGAATACATAATAAAAAATTCTCTCAGGCCTAGATGGTTTTACTAGTGTGTTCTTATAAACATTATGGAAAAATAACATGAAAACCATTCCACTTACGTGACCTAACTTGTGAAGCAATTAAGTTTGCAACTTTTGCCTAAGAGAATTCCTGTTGCATTTTAATTAGCAGGTTTTTGTAATTATTGTTCAGACTGATTAATATAATGAATCTTAAAATAAGAATTTTTTTCTCACTTCTTCATTCGTAAATGCTTATTGACTGTCTTTTGACAGATGCTGTATGTAAAGCATTTGGTATACATACATGAACAAAACATGTATCTTGTCATCCTGAGTTTAACTTTAATGAAGGAGACAGATGTTTATGCATGAAATTACAGCTACAGTTTAGTATGAAAATTGTCACAATAAATAGGTAGAGGACTTTGGGAACAAAGAATGGGGCATCTGATTGCCCTAGGACAGGCCAAGGAAGACTTCACAGAGGAGGTGATGTTTGATTTGAGCCCTGAAAGGTAAGTATTGATAATACCAAGCAGATGGTGATGAAACATTTAGGTAAGGTTAACAGTATGTGTAAAAGCATGAGAACGTGACTTATTGGGGAATTTATTTTTTGGAGTTCAATGTAAGAGCCCTGGTGGCTCAGTGGTTAAGAGCTTAGCTGCTAACCAAAAGGTTGGAAGTTTGAATCACCAGCTGCTTCTTGGAAACCCTATGGTGCAGTTCTACTCTGTCCTATCAGGTTGCTATGAGTCAGAATTGATTCTACGGGAACAGGTTATAAGAGATAGGAAAAGGCAGGAAATAAGAAAGGAAAGGAAGGTAAGGACTCATCATCAATAACTTTTTATACCATATTGAAGAAAAAATATTTTTATCTTTAAAGCTATGGAGAGTTTCTAATCTTTTAAGAAGTGTAGCATGGTTAAGTTTTGTTGTAAAATGATTATTCCAGTAGCTGTAGATAGGAGATTGAAATGGGGCATGACCGGAGGCAGGGAGACCATTAGAAGGATGTTCACGATAGATACAAAGGTTAAGAGATGATGGGAGCTTCAACTAGAACAGAGGCAATGGAAATTAAGAATGACAGCCCAAAGTAAAGGCACTGACTGGTTTCTGACACTAATTTTCAACAAGTTTACTTTCTATGACTACTTTTTGATCTTGGTAAATTGTAATGGGAGATGCTGTCATAGAAGGTGAATCCAAACTTACCTAAAAGTTATGAAGTTTAGTTCAATGTTTTGAACAGGGAGAAGAGAACTTTATTCTAGACCAGTTCAAATTGGGTATTGAGATATGAAAAGGCCCTTCACCAAAGAAGATATTCAGGCAGCTAACAGACACATGAAATGCTCACGATCATTAGCCATTAGAGAAATGCAGATCAAAACTACAAATTGGGTGTTGATACTTATTCATGTTTTTATGTGTGTGTTTTTTTTTAACTTTAATATTATGGTGAAGGCTTTGAAGACGCTGAGCAGTTTATTAAGCTGACCCACAGATGGTTCCTAATATGATGTTCCTAATATTTCTAGTATGATTGTGGGTCAGTAAATTCTTAACTCATTCTTCAAAGTTTAAAGTTCATCTTGAGCACTTTCGTTTAATGTTTGAACTGAGCATAATATTGGTCAATAGCAGAAAAATTGTGTCTTATTAAGAGTTCTTTATGCAGAAAATTCAGTTGAAAGCCACTAACCTTACAGGGTTTTTTTTTTTTTGCTTGTTTTTTGAAAAAGGGAATAGCTGACATAGAGGTCCCCCCCACCGCCCCAAGGGTTTTTCTTTAGTTTCTTTGTGAGATAGGTGTATAATTTCAGCATGGGACAAGGAAATCAGTTTTACTAACTTTGTATATGAAAATATCTGCAGTGAAAAATACTTTGCTTCATTGCATAGTCTATATTAAACTATCTACAATGCTTTTCTAAAACCAAAATACTTTTTAAGTTTGCTTTGTCATTTTTATACTTATCCATGTAAATTTTATTAAGATCATGGCATAGAATTTTGAAGAGATAGCTAGCTCACTAAAGGTTCTGAAATTTTGGGAGGACTGAAGATTGTCTTTTTAGAAAATATCTTGTACCAATAACTTGACAACTATTGAGGCTTGCTTCTGAAATATTGTGGGCAAAACTTGTTTTCTACCAGGTAGATGGGGAAGAACCATTTAGATATGGTTTTTTAAAGTATGATTATCAACAATCTGTATTATAGTGGTTTTCATATTTCAACTGGAAGAATTCTGAAGTCTGAAAACTGTGGATATGTGTATATATCCCAAGATCTTAGATTTGGGAGTTATCATTTGTCAAGTCATTAATGGAAATGTCTACTTAAAAATTCTGAATTCTATTTCTGAAAAACAATGTGAGATTATATCCCCAGATCTGTCTTGCTTTTTTGTTCCTAATAGTTAAATCCAAAATACTTTCTGTAACCTAGTTTTTATTTTTATTTTTTGGTAAAATTATTTATGGAGGGATTTTAAATTTAGTCCATTCATTTGTCTTGTAAATTTTGCTCAGAATAGTATTTTACTAGCTTTGCCAACAATCCCCATTCCATTTTGCATTTATCGAGCAAAGTGTGTGTGTGTGTGTGTGTGTGTGTGTGTGTGTGTGTGTGTGTGTGTGTCTTAATCAGCTTGACAGGTTTGTCAAGTTACGAGATTTGAATAGACGAAATACAGGTTTCTTAGAAAATGTAATCAGGTCTTAATTGTAGCCTGCTTATGATCTTTGGATAAGTGTTTGGATTATTTTATTAGCTAGGAATGTTGATGTGGTGACTTACTAAAATTACTAACCTGAAAATTAGTGTATATATAGCTTGCATTTTTTCAGTATTTTCTATTTTCAAATATTTTTATAAGTTTGTTTTCTTTTATAATTTAAAGGCTTCTAGGCTGTAAGTGTGGCTTGAGGTATCCTTGTGAAATGATATTAGTCATTCTATAATATCTACTATAGGATATAGTCCCAACTCCATAGCATAGCCTACAAGTCTTGTTTAATTTCTTTTGCCTATCTCTCCAATTTCATTATTATTCTTCTACAAGCTCTTTACCCCCACTAATCATAACATTTTTTAAAAAAAGACTTTATATTTTAGAGAAGTTTTAGGTTTGCCAGAAAGCACGGAGTCTCCATACACTCTTCTCCCTCCACATCATTTCTCCTATTAACATCTTGTATTCTTGTGGTACGTTTGTTGCAATTGATGAACCAGTATTGATACTGTTATTAACTGAAGTCCATAGTTTACATTAGCGTTCACGTTTTTGTTGTATGTTCTATGGATTTTGACAAATGCTTACATTAGAGTTTACTTTTCGTGTTGTAAGTTCTTTTAGTTTTGACAAATGCTTAATGAAAAATTTCTTTTTTTGTGTGGAGGAGGGGAGGCTTCCCAAATATAATAGTCTTACATTTGAATGTGATTTTGGAATTGTGGTCCTACCACCACCCCACCTCACCCACCCCAACCTTCACGTTCAGAATGCAAATTAGCTTTGCTTTGCTCACTTACAAATTCTTAACTGGTTTTTAGGACTCATTTCAGTGTCGTCCATCCTTCAACGTTTAACTCTGTCTGCTCAGGCAAAATTAGGAGCCCTATGCTGTATGCACCACTATACTATACCACTTTCTGTTCTAACAAGTGATAGTTACTACTTTATTTCCATGTCAGTCTCTAACAGAAGGCTTTTGAACAACTTCAGGGCTGGGATTGAGTTTCATTGATTTCTACCTTCTAGGCTTAATCCATAGTAGCTATTTAAATGGTTTGTTGAATCAAACAATTTATAGTAGAGAAATTAGCAACAAAAAGAATCTGTGAAATCTATTTGGAAAAGAAATCCCCAAAGCAAAAAGTACCCTTTTTTGGTGGTGGGAGGTGGGGGAGGAATGGGATACGTTGTGGTTGGAAACCATGGCATCCTCTAATTTACAATTTGCCATGTAAGCAGTACATTTTGCAGTCATGTAAATTTTACTTAAAATCTGCCAGTGAAATTTCTGAAGGCGTTAAAACCACTTTAAAAATTTTTTCTTATACATACTAATTTAATTAATTATTTTTTAAATTTTAGGAAACACTCCTTTACATCTTGCTGTGATGTTAGGAAATAAAGGTTAGTAAATATTTTCTTATTTATGTTTAATCTCATGTATAGTAAATTTAAAAATTTTAAGATGAATTTTGTATTTTGAGTCTTTTTAGATTAGCCTGGTTATTTTATTTGCTTATTGAGCTTAGAATTCAGTATATTAACAATAACGTATTTTCTCATTTTTGATCACACTTTTTTTCAGGGTCAGAGGAAATTCAGTACTAGCTTTCATGTCTGCTAAAGCTATGCTTTTTCCTTATTTGGTTATTTTTATCTAGCTAGAAAGTATTTATAATTTCAAGGGACTCTTCCGTAAGGATTATTAATTATTATTATATTTGTAAATACAGGTAGTCCCCGACTTTCGACATATTCGAGTTATGATGAACCACATTTACGACTGTCCTTTTTTTTATGATTTGTGTATTTTTTAATGTATGTATGTATTAAAATATATAAGTTTATATGTAATGTTTCCAACCCTCAAAGACAAACATCGGATTTATAAAGATACTGATAATAAAAAGCAACGATAATGAAAACTAAAAAAAAAAAAGAGGTACCATATTTTTGGGCACAGTTGGCAAACAAACGTAGAAGGTGCACGTTATTTGTGTTAAAACACGGTACTTGACCTACATCAGAACAGATTTATGACAGAGTTACCAGAATGGAACCCTGTTGTTAAGTCAGGGTCTATCTGTATTGGAACAGTTTTATAAGATTCTTTAATATGGAATAATTTGTATACCTAAACTCATAAGCCTAGCCTTTTTTATGGTATATAATTGTAAAAATTTAATACTTTTTTATGCTTAATTAAAAAAGAAAAGCAACTCATAGGTAAGTGAAATACAAGATCTACTTTTTAAGTTATTCCTAGATGCAATAAAGTCTCAGTTATCCGGATGCCCAGTTATTTTGGAAAGTGAGGATTCTAGACAGCTGATTAGTAACCTTTTGAGTGCTAGATTTTTTTAAGAAACATATATGCCTACATTTTTAAACAGGCTAGTGAATTTATGTTAACATTTTTCTTTCTTATGATCTAGAAGTATCATCATAAACATCTCGTTATATGCTGTAATGTAGCTGTATAAACATCTGATCTGAATGTATAGTAATCCCAGGGGTGCCACTAGAACTTGCTTAGTTGAAAAAAAGCTCTGCTAGTTTGGGTTTTCAGTTCATATGGTTAAGTGAAACATATAATCTACAAAATAATATAATTTCAATTGCAATTCTATATGGTTAATTTGGTGACTCAAATCTTTATTTATCTTCAGTGTTCTAATTATGCTATTTTTTTCTCCTTTCAAGGAACAGACTCAGTCAAGTAACTTCTCAGTAAAGAGAGTCTTTAAGAGCTTACATATTATAGAAACTCAGGAAATGAGTATTAGCCAGTCTCAGAAAGGGCAGGAACCCAACAATTTGGGGGATCAGCCATTCTTCTCTCCTCTCTCTCTCTCTCAGTGTGTCTACTGTTTTTTACATATCTGTAATATTTTTGCCTTTCTAGACTGACTTTCTCTCTTTACTGAAATTGAACATGACCCAAAATAACATGGCAAGCTCATGAATTTTATGATCTTGGCATAGGCATTCACTTCTGTGAAATTAGCTTTGGCTAGGGTGGCTTGGATGGGGAGTTGGGTGTAGGAGAAGGAATCAGGAATACGGAGAAAGTGTAGCAGAAATATGTTCAGTTTAGCAGAAATATGGGCCAGGCAAGCTATGATAACCATCTCTAATACGGCTACCTTGGGGGCACAACTACAATATCATTATCATGCCTAAGAAAATAAATAATAATGTTATAATAGCGTCTGATATCCAGTCCATATTTAAATTTTTCCAGTTGTTTCCAAAATGTCTTTTATAGGTATTTTATATTGAATCAAGATTCAGTCAAGGTTCATTACATTTGGTTATGTGTCTTTATTTTAATCTAGAATAGTTTGCCTACTTATTTTTTCCTTTGTGACTTTTTGAAGAGTCTTGGCCACTTAACTTGTAGAATGTTCCCCATCCTGGATTTGTTTATTTTCTCATGATGTTTTCTTTAACTTGTTCCTTATTCTCTGTCCTTTCTGAACGTTGAAAATTATCTACAGAGGCTTAATTAGACTTAGGTTAAACATTTCTAGAAGGAATATTTTATAGGTGATGTTATGAACCTTATATTGCATCACTTTAGGAAACATATAATTCCAGTCTGTCCTACTATTACTGATGCTAAGTTTGATCACTTATTTAAGGTAATGATCTCCAGATATCTCTACTGTAAAGGAACATTGTTTTTTCTTTGCAGTTATTAAATAATCTTGGGGTGACACTTTGGTACCATGTAAATATCCTATTTCCCAGCAAATAGTCTTGTACCTGATGATTTTGACATTTATTGAGGACCTTTGCCTAAATCTGTTATTACATTGAGTGTTGTAATATGCTCTGATATTATTCCTTCTACATTTGTTGGCTGGTATTCTTTTATAAATTAGAACTCACATCCCCCCCTTCCTTCAAACTTTTGATGTCATTATGAGCTTATTGATTATTTTTTGTTCAGTGTGTTATGGCTAGTTAGTCATTATTCTTTTTGATGCTCAATTTCCCAGTTTTGGCCAGTGGCTGACCATGCAAGCTTGTTCCTCTGTGCTTTTCATATGACTCTAATCTTAAAAAATGACTGCATATTACTCCGGTGATGTAGATGCATCATAGTCTCTCATTCCCCCATGATCAACATTCACTTTGTTTCTAGTATTTTTGCTACTATAAACAACATTACAATAAACATCTTTGTACTTCTGTTCTTATTTACTACTAGCAGACTTTCTTAAACATCTTTGTGAAATTTCTGTTTATTTTACTTTAATAAAGATTCCTGCTAGTGTAGATATTCCTTCTTTCACTAGGAATAGTGACACTAGTGACTAGGAATATTACACTGTCCTAGCACCCTTATTTCTTTCAGAGAACTTATCATGATGTGAATTTCTCTTTTTTATTAGTTTACTTATTGTCTTCCAACATAGGATGTAAGCTCTATGATACTCGTTGCTCTTGAGTTGATTCTGATTCATAGCAACCCCGTGTGTTACAGAGTAGAACTGTTCTATAGGGTTTTCTTGACTGTAATCTTTATGGAAGCAAATCTCCAGGCCTTTCTTTTCTGGTACTGCTGGGTGGGTTTGAACCGACAACCTTCTGATTAATAGTTGAGCAAAAGCTCTTCATGCCTGTCAGGGACCCTTAAGCTCTGTGATAGCAACACCTTATCTTTCTTGTACACAGCTTATATCCAGCATCTGGCACTTAGACGTGGTACATAATAAATAGGCACTTGGTGCGTATTTGCTGAATGATTAACTGCATGAATGAATGGATTACTATCTTACTTAAAATTTCTATGAGCCTCAGTCTCAGTTTAAAATTTTTTTTTCTGTTAATACACTTTTTATTTGTAATTTTTTTTTAAAGTTTCCTCAGCCTATAGAAAGGACTATATACCTTAGATTTATTTTGATTACTTGAAGACTGTCCACATTTGTCCTTGTAATATAAACAGATTCTTGCCCCTTTTCTGGTATTTCTTTGAATTAAAAAAAAAATTAAATTTGAAAAATAATGGTTTATAGAAACAACATTACTGATCATATTTTTTTTTGGAAAACACATTTTTAAATGTCTGTATGATACTGAGCCTTTCCATTTGACATTATAGAAATACAAATGCTCTTTCAGATCTTATTAGATAGTAGGTATTTTGATGTAAATTACTCTTGAGGTTACTGGGTTTTCTTTTAGAATATGGAAACATTCTCAAAATACTCTTTGGAATAATTACTAGGGAAAAATATTTTCTTTGAAGACAGATCCAATTTATTTTTAGGTAGCAGAATGGATACTTACTGAATCTGGGGATCTGAAATAACCTGGCTTAGATACATAGGAATTTTAAAAGTTAAATTTAATTCTATAATTAGTATACTGTCTTATAGATCTGTTTATATTTGTTTGGTTTCTTGACTTTTTACATGATTTTTGTATTTAGAGATTCTAAAATTTGAATGATGTTTGATATTATTACCACTTTCTGTTACAGAATGTGCCCATTTACTTTTGGCTCATAATGCTCCAGTAAAAGTGAAAAATGCTCAGGGATGGAGTCCTCTGGCGGAAGCCATCAGCTATGGAGATAGACAAATGAGTAAGCATTATAAAGTACTGTTGTTAATATATATTCTAAAAATAGGAAGTGATGTGCTTGAAATATTTTTAATTTGGTATTATAACTTTCCGTACTATGAAACTTTGAGGTTATTCATAAACATATGTTAATTATTCCTGACTTAGGAACTTGAACATTGGGTAGTACACAAAAAGAATTTCGGAAGCAAGTTTAAAAGTATGTTGTTTATTATTTTTTCTCTTTTCAAAGCATCTGCCCTACTAATATTCTTAGTTTTTTTAAATTCATCTAGAATAAAGTTGATAACTGACTCATTTCTGGCAACTGCTTCATTATTTGGAACAGAGAATAATTGCAGTGTATTATAACAAATAGCTGTTTAATTGCTGGCTATAGATTTTACTGGACATGAGGAGGAAATCTGTCTCTTTTCAGTCTTTAAATGAGTATTTCCAAAAAACGCCATGTACTTCTTCACAGTATACAGCATGTTCAGTTACTTGACTCTCCTTTCCCGTAATTGTTTTTCAATTTCACGTACAGGTCTTATTTTTGTCAAGCACATCTCAATAGTTGAAAAAGTTATTAAAAAACTTATATCTGGATCTGAATGTTATATTATTATCTTCCTGGTATTATTATTTTACCTTTTTAAAGTTTGAGGCTAAAAATGATCAATTAAATCTAGACTTGTAGAAGGAACAATAAAAAATCTTGACAGTTTTATTAAAGAAATGTGTGGCATGGAACATTCCCTTAATGTTACAGGGATCTGTCTTATTATTTTGATGCTAAGCTTTGAGTTATTCCGGGATGTTTCTTATGTTTTAGTTTTATGTGTAATACACAAATTATGTTTTTGTGGATTTTCTTAACATGTTTGATAACAATGGTGAAGTTAAATTTAATATTAAATACTAAGATTTAACATGAGATAAAATTTTGATTTTTTGAACAATTATCTGAGTGTATATGTATTTTGTTATTCATTGACAGGGAGGTGGGTGGAGAGGAAATCAGACGGACTCCTGGGTTTCTGACCCACAGTGAGACTTTTGTGACTTTCAAGGATTCTTTTATTTCCTGAGTGTTTACTGAGCCCTTAATACAAGGCATCTGTGTATAGTAAGGAGTGGAGAATAAAGACACAGTCTCTGTGCTTTAGGAATTCATAATCTTTTGGGAAGGCCAAGGAGCACTTTTCGTGGAAAATCGGTTACAGGATATTTAGCAATACATTTTAATGTAAAAGAGTGAAGTCCCTAGTAGTTGAGATCTGATCTTTAAAGTGCCTTTCCTGTATTGAGTGATATCTTAGAAAAGTATCCCATTATCAATTATATATCCATAATTATTTAGTGCTTATGTTTTCATTACTTCCCAGCACATGAAACAAAACTGTTTAACCATTAATTTAAAAGATAATTCAGCAACACTTCCCATACATATTTAGAAATGTTAACGTAAATGTATTTATGATGTGTTAAACATATGTCTATACTTTGAAATTATATTAAATGACTATGATTTAAGTTTTTGATTCTTTAGCTTATGTTACATTAAGATTTTCTGGACGTAGAAAATTACAAAAATTGGAAACTCAGACATAATCTAATATTGTAAATTATTAATGAAAACTTTGTGTCCTGTTTGTCTTTCTTTTGACAATTTCATTAGTGTTCTTATGCTATAGAACAGTGAGATAATACTAAACTACTCGTCAGACACTATTTAGAATTACTTCACTTTAAAATTAATAAAATTTCAAGATTATGTTGCTTTTCTGCCGTACAGTGGTTACCTGGTGGAGAGTGATCAGCTCAGACAAGTATCAGGGAGAGATATGGATATAACTAAAAAGCCTTTCCCCAACCTGTTCCTCACCAGTGTTTCCCAGTTTTCCTCTGATCTACACAGCTTTTTTTTTTTTAATCTACACTGGGACCTAGCTGTATTTTGTTCCTCAGGAGTTGCTCATAGTTTGTACAGATCTATGTTATGGTAGTTTTGGGAATTTTATCAGCCTCTGTCTTATCTTTTTTGCATATCAAAGGTTGGTTATGAAGGAAAGAGACAGCAGTCCATGTTGGTTTACAGTCTCATCAAGAACTGGCAGTCGCCTTCATTTGGGTTTCGGCTTTGTATCTTTCTGGGTGAAGCCTTTCCTCAACCCATGGAGTAGATTAGTTTTCCCTGGTCATAAATTTTCGAAGTGGTCTACTCTTTTCCTTTGCAGTACTCAGCATACTTAAAATTAATTGTTCAATATCTGTTCCCTATTCTGTATCCTGATATTAAAAGCTTTGTGAGAACCGGAGTCATGTGTATGTTGTAATATTTGCCCCTTTATCCCTGGCTCCCAGAACAGTGCTGACACAATATTATTTGGTCAGCACATAAATGAAGAAATGAATAAAAAATGGAAAGAAAATTTGAGACTGCTTATTAAGAATCAATTTTTTCTCAAAAGTATTATATTAGGATGTCTGTTTACCACAATTCTCCTGAGTTGTTCAAAACTTTTTTGGCTTTCACAGGCAAGAAAAAAGTTTTATTTGAGGATTGACTTAAGGTGTTCAGTTTCTTATTTTAGAATGTAAGAATTTAGAGATAACTGTTTTGTCCTGCAGTTATCATTTCATTTTAAAAAAGATATTTTGAAACCAAAAATAGTAAGAATAGTCTTTAAATTTAAAATTCAGTAGTCCTTAAATTGAAAGAAAAAATCCACTAGTTCCTAATTTTGCTCATTTTCCTTCATATCAGGGGAACTTGAAAAATTGGGCACTGAAGTGTAGACTGGTATTTGGGAACTGGAGCCCTGGTGGTGTGCAGGGGTTAAGAGCTTGGCTGCTGACTAAAAGGTCAGCAGTTTGAATCAATCAGCCAGTCGCTGGAAACCCTATGGGGCAGTTCTCTTCTGTCCTGTAAGGTCGCTATGAGTCGAAATAGTCTTGATGGCATTAGGTTTGGTTTTTTAATTTTATTTGGGAACTACTGATCTAGGTCATGGAAACCTTGGTGGCAAAGTGGATGAGAGCTACAGCTGCTAACCAAAAGGTCAGCAGTTTGAATCCACCAGGCTCTCCTTGGAAACTCTATGGGGTGGTTCTGCTCTGTCCTACAGGGTTGCTATGAGTCAGAATCAACTAAATGGCAACAGGTTTGGTTTTGGTTTGATCTAGCTTACAAAGCCAGTTAATAGTATAACTGAGACTAAGTCCCAAGTTTCGTGACTTTTAGGTCTCAGCTTCTTCTACTATTATAAAATATCTTTAGTAATTTAAACATTGCTGTTTGATTTTTGGCTAATATTAAAAAATATTAGAGTAATAGCGACACCTATGGTTTAAGATTGGAATAGATCCTACCATTTTTCATGTTCTTCTTTGGGCCTATGTATACAAAACAATCTAGTCCAAACTTTAACTACAGTCTTCATTCCTTTTTTTTTTTTTTTTTGGTCCACCTTCCACTTTTGTATTCCACATGGGGCTTGAGGTGGTTTATAAGAATGCTAATGTAAAATAGTAAATATGATAATAAAAAGAAGTTTAAGTAGGTATGTATATGTATGTATATGAAAAATATGTCAGGACCAGGAGAAGGTTAGAATATATGAATGTACACCTTTCTTTTCCTTCAGCAAACATTTTTGCATTCTCCATCTCTTGTTAGGCTTATTTTCATTCAAGTCTAATATTTTTCCCTATTTTAATTAACGTTAAGGATTGATTTCTGACAACCAATTTTAGACCTTCACTCTAACAGATAAAAGTTATATTTACTTAATTGCTGGCATAGTTATAAGCACTTTATATTCAGTCTTTACAAAACTCCTGTGTAGTAGATTTTACATTATTATTACTTGACAAATGAAAAAAGAAACCCAAGTTTAGGGAAGTTAAGTAACTTGTCCAAGCTTACACACAGCTAATAAGTAGCAAAGCTGGAGTCAAAACTCAGGTGCTGTGCCTAAAGCTCAAGCTCTTAACTACTGAGAAAGTACTATGGAAGGCTTCAGGTTTTCTTAGGTTTTAGAAGTTCTTTCAGTCTATACAAATAAGATTCATTTTGTATTTTTTATACTGTGTTGTGGTTTGTGAGGGTACAACCTGTAGTGTAAAAAGAACAGGTATGCCTGATAACAGTTGCAAGGTAATTACAAGTTTTTAGAAAAGTGATACCCAGTGAGATTTTTGAGATTATTGTCTGTGAAACCCTGGGGGCGTAGTGGTTAAGAGCTATGGCTGCTAACCAAAAGGTCAGCAGTTCTAATCCACCAGGCACGCCTTTGAAATTCCATGAGGCAGTTCTACTTTGTTCTGTAGGGTTGCTATGAGTTGGAATCGACTCGATGGCAACAGGTTTTTTTTTGGTCTCATACTCTTCTTTGAAATTTAATGTTACATCATTGGACTGAGATTAGTAGATCGTGGCACAATTAGGTAAATTAAAAACTAGGAAAACAGGTGTGAAAATGTTACAAGTTGATATATCTTTTCTTAATAGTCCTTGGGGATCATATCAGTTTTACTAAACAACTATAACTTACTCACCATATTGCTTTATATATATCTGACAAGCCTATGGTGTTTTTTAGCATGGTAAAAATTACTTTAAATTATTATTATTTTTCCATCGAAACTTTAGTTACGGCACTTTTAAGGAAGCTTAAGCAGCAGTCCAGAGAAAGTGTTGAAGAAAAACGACCTCGATTATTAAAAGCCCTGAAAGAGGTAGGCTATAGTTCTTTGCTGATTTTGTATCTAAAGTATAAGTTTAAGCATTTTTTTATATAGTCTAAATTCTCACTGTGTACTATTGTAATGTTTTAGGTAATAACCATATTATTGTTCTTTTCTTTCTAAAACTCCAAACATTGAGATTAGTTTTTTAGTATTTTCTACCCTGTCTGTAGACCTTTGATGATAACATTTTTTAAAAGAAAAATATTAAGCAGATATAAGAACTGTTAACTAAAGTGTATGTAGTAATTATTCATATTTCATTTCTCAGCTAGGTGACTTTTATCTAGAACTTCACTGGGATTTTCAAAGCTGGGGTAAGTGTATATTATATTTTATTATAAAATATGTATTCATGCCAAGATGCAAGTGCATAAAAACTATTATGAAGAAATATTAGCATTACAAATTTGACACTTGGCCTAAGGAAAATTAAATATTTTTAATAATGTTGAATGTAGTAGTTATAAAACCCTATACTAATACTTAATTATCCCAACTTGATTAGTAACTTTCAAAGTTTTTATTTTTAAGATTGGAAACAGCTTTTTTTTTTTTTCAACAAAAAGCAGTTTTAAAAATTATAATAATTTAATATTAGGCAGTTTTAGAAGCAAGAATAATTTTGGGATTATCAAATTACTGAATTTAAAGGATTTTAAAATATAGTGTTTAGATAACTAAATGTGAAAATTAATACCATTTGTTTATACTTATTTTATAATCTTTCAATTATTTTTGCCATTTTTTGGGCATACTTTACAGCCACTGTCTTAACATACTATTTGGTTGCAAATTGTTTCAACTATTTATAAAAGCTCTTAATTCTAGATTTTTACAGTCATTTATTAATTTACTTTGGCAAAATAAATTTCTCTCCTCCCCATTGTAAACATAAGATCACTTACGGCAAAAACCTTCATGTCCAAATAGCAAGTTTGATCCTAGTGACCTTTCTTTAGTAACCTGTGTACTTTTCCATAGTTTATAGTTTAACCGTCTCTCTTATCTCGTAACATATTAGCCTCTGTTGTACTTCACATACTTCCAGTGAGAATGTAAGGGGAAGAGTATATAATAACTGTTATTATATTTTTGGTATATGATTTAATCATTATATATATTCCTAAATAACTTATGATAAAAAATTCAGTTATAATTGGAACTTATTACCAACAGAAAAGAACTAGTTTTCGTTGCAAAATATATATATCTGACCACATTTTGTTTTTAAAGTTTTTTTTTTAATGTAATCCATAAAGGTTTGGATATAATGAGTTTACATGTGTTTTTAAAAGCATCTGAATTAATTTTTATGATATAAAAGTGTTTGAATGCTCAGTGATATTTATCCCCAAAATAATCATAAAAACAAATCAAGTTTTGACAACCATAGGAAGTATATTCCATTTTATGTAATTTTGTAAGTTTTATGATGTGTGTGTGTACATGTTTGGGTGTTCATAGTTATATATTGTATATATTGGACTATTGCAATTAGGCAGTTCTAGTTCTTACCACTTAAATAAAAATATTAAGTACTATTAGACAGTCAATAGAAATTTCTCAGTTTTTGGCCCATTGTAGATTAATAAACGCACCTTAATGTGAAACAGATTACATCCTGACATACATTGACCTCTGTAATGAAGTTATGATAATCTCAGGTTGTTTTTATATGCTCTTGGGTTTGCATATTCAGCTTCAAAATAGAAAATAGAAGTTATATATTATATAGTTTTATACTGTACAATCTGGCAGTCAATTGCCTGCCAAATTACCAGATTTAAACTTTAATTATCTGGTCATACTTGTCCTTTCTTCTCATTCTTCCTTTATGTCCTCTGATTTCTTCTTCTGAAAAAGTAAATGTAACCATCAGTCTGAAGTCCACTAACATGTGTTTCTCTTTACCATGTCGAAAGTCAGTAATTTTCTGCTGTCTTCAGAAGAAAGTTTCTGTCCTTTTCTCAAATAGTAATATCTAATTTTTCTACAAATAATATTTTTGCAACTGCCTTTTTTATTTGGAGTTTTTAAAAACAAATCAGACTTCTTGCCAAACTAAATTAGAAAGTTAATGTTTTTAAACACCAGCAGATTTTATAAAGTATGTATATACTTCTAAAGAATTTAGTACCTTTTTTAGTTATCTTTGACTAGTGCAATTCATAAGTTTTACTACTAATGTTAGTCTCAGATTTCAAGATGTTTATTTTTTATAGAAATACTGACTGTAAGAGTTCTTGAACATTGTAGGAAATTATCAAGTATTTTTAAGTTTCCTCATTACTACTTTCCAGAGGCAACCACTGATTAAACATTTCATGTGAGTACTTTCAAACCCTTTTCAGGGTTTACAAACGTGTGTGTGTACCTCAGCTTTAGTTTTTTAATTTTATTTTACAGAATCAACTATTGTGTCATTATGCAATTTTTCATTTTTACTTAATATATTGTGGGCATCCTACCGTATTAGTCCATTATTATCTCAGTAATTTTAACCGTTCATCATAATATTTTGTGGTATGGATATTTAAGGTTTCCTGCTGTGTTTAATCCCTCTGTTCTTCCCAGTTGCAGTCAAGTCGATTCTGACTCATGGCAACCCCATGTGTTTCAGAGTAGAACTGTGCTCCATAGGGTTTTCAGTGGCTGATTTTTTGGAAGTAGAACTCCAGGCCTTTCTTCTGAGGTGCCTCTGGGTAAACTTGAACCTTCAACCTTTTGGTTAGCAGTTAAGCATGTTAACCATTTGCACTACCCAGGGACTCCATGTGATTTTTAAATGTAGTGTTTCAATTCCTAAGTGTACATAATTCTTTTATATTTTGTTAAAACTCTAGCTCATTAAGTTAATTTTGGCTCTGTCAAAATCTTCATGGCCTCATTACTCTGATAGTCCTACCTTGCCTTATAGATTATTTGGAATACCTGATGTCCTAGAACCTGGAGAGAAAAAGAGGTATCTAGTAGCTTTGTATAATCGAAGTGCTCTAAGTCACATTGGTCTAAAGCTGAAGGCTATTTTTCCCGTTTTTTTTTCCCTGTCTGAGACCCACTCCTTCTTTGATTTTGTCCCTTGAATGTATTTCCTCTTTAACTGATTCTCTTAGTATTTGTTATTAATTTGAATTAAAAAATAGTCCATTTTTCTTGCTGAACAAAATTTTTTAAAGTGGCATTTCAGGTACATGAAGAGATAGAAATAGACATAATCACTCTTGAAATTATGTACTTATCTACAGTTATAAATAATACATTATAAACATCACATAATGAAATTCAGGAAGCAACCACTGAGGTACTTGTTAAAAGTATTCTGCTTTAACAAACTTGACTTTGATGCAAAAAAAAAAAAGAAAATTCAGCACATCTGTTTCATTGCTGATAAAGGATTTTACTGATTTAAAGCCAAAACTATCTGCATCTCTTGGTGCGATGTCATATGTAAGTCTAAAAATTAAAACTCATCAATTTCTATTTATCCTGGACACTTGGATTAAAAAAAAAAAGCAGCAAATAATGTCTATTATTAGATTTTATCATCAAGCTTTTTCCCCTAATGTTTAGACATATCTCTTACTTTTGTCAAGATCCCTAATATTAAAAAAAAGTAAACCAGAAATAAGGGGAGGAGCTAAGAATATTGAGATCCAGGGTAATTTTATAGGTAGTACTCTTCTTTCTCATGTTCGTATAGTCTGTCTTTGGCTGAAAATAGCTTCAGACTTAGAATTTGAAGGTAACTAAACTTTTACATCCTGGTTTTTAAGCTATAGAAAAGCTTTGAATTGGAATCAGAGTACTGGTTTTTAACTCTTTGGTGAGACAAATCATCTCTCTTTCCTGAGCTTCAGTTTTTTTTCTTTTAATTTTTAAAGTGGAGGTAATAATGACTGCTCCATTTATTACAGAATTTTGTTTAATGAGATCATGTTTTTGAAGGAAGCTGTTTGTAAACTGTAAAGTGTTAAATAATTTATAACATTTCAATCACTACCTCAATTTAGCATTGTGCACATAGCACATTCCAACTGTAAAACCAGTAGTTTTTATATCTTTTTATGTTGTTTTCCACAGAATCTGTCCTGTATTTGGGACTGTTATTTGCATATTATAGATAGAAAACAATAGGCTCAGAAATTCTTCTTAAGATCAGAAAGTAAGTGGTAGCAAAATCAAAATTAAGATGTAGGTGATTCTCTTTTCATTGCTCAGTTCAGTGAATTATGCTACCACTGGAGTAGTGTCTTAAATTCTCAGATTATGCTGAGATAATCTAATATACAGAGAGCATAACTGATCAGTTGACATGAATGAGGAAATAGTCATTACAGAACTGGAAAAATGTGAATTGATATATTTTTGGAATGCATTAAAGTCTAGCAGAAATCACTTTTTGCTCAGTGAAGGTTTTTCTTTTTTCCTTTTTTTTTCATAGCTTTTGCTTCTCACTCCCAATTTCTTATCTTCTTTCTGCATTTCCCTCTTCCTCCTTCTCTGATTTTTTTACTAAGTATTGATATATGATTCTAAATTGTAGTTTTGTAGGTTATTATAACCACTTCAAAAGATCTAATAAATTATGGTACTATTTGCTTTGAATCATTTTTGGTTCATGCTACACCAAATGCTTAACTACGGGAAAACTTGATATCAAGTAATGAGCATGGAGGGAGGTCTTTGATCATTTACACAGATTTACCCTATTCTTGCTCATGCCAACTTCTGTGGTTTCTTATAAGGAGAAATTTAAAAAGTAAATGATTTCTTATGTTTTTTTAACTAGGGCAGCTCTTAATTGATATTCTCTCCATGCAATTTCTTTATTTTTTATTTTTATACAATAAAATGTAGTTCTAGAAAACTGTTTTCAAGGGTGGAAATTATTTTGGATTAAATGACCTCTGGAGCCCTGGTGATGCGATGGTTAAGAGTTCGGCTGCTAACCAAAAGGTTGGGAGTTTGAATCCACCAGCTACTCCTTGGAAACCTTGTGGGACAGTTCTACTCTGTCTTATAGGGTCACTATGAGTTGAAATCGACTGTGAATCCTCTATGAGTTAGAATCGACTTGATGGCAACGGGTTTGGTTTTTGTTTTTTTTAAGGATCTAATCTAAAGGTTGGAGGTTAGAACCCACCTAGTGGAGCTGCAAGAGAAAAGGCTGGCAATCGCTTCTGTGAGGATTACAGCCAAGAAGACCCTATGGAGCAGTTCTGTTCTGTAACATTTGGGGTCACCATGAGTCAGAATTGACTCGACAGCAATGGATTTGGGTTGTTTTGAAGAATTTGAAATAGGCATTGATGATTTGGTGTACCTTTAGTGTTAATTAGAAAATAGCGATGCTTTGAAAATGTTAACTCAAAAATTAGCCTTTAATTTTCTCTAAAGTTTTTGTTTCTTTCTCAGGTTAATTTTTTACTACCTATTTTTGAAACAGAGTTTTGTAAGATATATATTTTAGACATACCCACAGACATGTGCACATACATTCATACATACACTCATACAAGTGACATGATCTTAAATTTCAAGAATTCTGAGCTTTACTTTTTTTTTTTTTGGTAGATGGTAGTTTACTGTAACCTGTTATACAGATTTATTCATCCGTAGAATAACTCATATTCTCCAAAACACAACAGATAATAAATAATAAAAAACTATTAGAATACAAGGTCATGATATGAATCTGAGTTATAGCAAATGACACTGGAATGTAGAAATCTATAAGTAAATAATATAATTAACACTTCACAGATTTTGAAACTTGAAGTACAGAAAGCTTAAGTAACTAAAGTCACTTATTTGGGATTCAAACTTGAATATCACTACCTAGTTTCAAAAATTGTGCCCTTTCTATTTCATACATTTCTTTCCTGCAGTTTTATTAACTTACATTTAAAGGATCAGATAGGACGCGGGTCCAACTGGTTAACCATTCAGGAGAGTTTTGTTACCAGAGGGCATTGTTCTCTCATCTGTAATAATATCCCGCAATATGTACCCAGGAGTGGCGTTGTATTGACTTTGCTACATTGTATGTGACGAGGGTGGGGGTGAGGGAGATATAGTTTACTATACAGCAGTTACAATTATTTTAAGTTGATCAGAATTGCTTTATATATTATTTTTTATTTGGAAAATACTATTTTACAGGAAAGTATTACAATTCTGGTAAATTAGTGAAATGCTTACATTATTTTTCTTACAATTTATAAGTTTGTAATGTCTCAGAACTTTTAAGTAGTTATTTTTTTGCATTTTCTTTTTAAAAATACAGTGCCTTTACTTTCCCGAATTCTGCCTTCTGATGCGTGTAAAATATACAAACAAGGTATCAATATCAGGTAAGATGATTTGATTCTTTTCTGAGTAACAAATTGAGATTTAGAGGAAGCTGCTTTCTATAATAATAGCTTATGCTTGGATGAAGTGTTTTATAATTTTAAAATGCTGTAATATATTCACAATGTATTATCTCATTGGAGACATACTACAGATAAGGAAACAAAGGCATAAAATTTTGACTGAAGCAAAGATCTTATTCAACTACAGACTGTCTAGAAGGCAAACGGTGAAAATCATGGTATAATACTAGGAAGAGTTAAGATGGTCACATCCCTGATCCTGGATTTATTAAGGAGTGAGAGACTCATAGGGAAGACCCAACTCTTGTCCCTTTTTTCCTCCTCCTCCTATACTCTTCCCTCCCGTATTCATCTATCTATGCATCCCACCATTCATTTATTCAGTTTTCTGTCCGTTCTGGTGAGCAGTTTTAATTTTTTTCCATTCCCTTTTTATAACTAAGATTGATGTTTGGATCTGATGGGAAATTAATCTATTTATTTTACTCATTTTGGAATTTTATTTTTTATTCTTTATATCTTTAGCTTTATATTAGTACATATTAGTATATATTAGTACAATTATATAAAATATATATGTGAGTGACTATGCCAATAATACATTTATATTAGTATTTTTATAAATTATATATATATGTATATTTATATATAGCTCCAGAATTTTACTTTGGATATGTAAGGCTCTAGAACTAGAACTAACTTGAAAGATTATCTCATATAAACTCTTCATTTTATAGATGAGAAAGTTCAGAGAGGTGAAGTGAGTTTTTACAAGAGCATACTGCAGATCAGTAGCTGAGCCAGGACTTCTGACTTCCAGTCTTTTTTCCACCATGTTACAAAGCAGAAATTTTTAAAAAATTAACTATGTACGAGAAGATTTATTATACAGTATGTTGAATTACAGTGAAGAGGTAACTTTTAGTTGGAAGCAAGTTCTAGGATAATTATCCTCATGCAATAAAACTTGATTAAGGTAGAAGTTTCTGAGTTTTTTGTTTTTAAAAATAACCTCTTCGAGTGTTTCTCATTATGAAAGTGCCTGTGGACATATAATGCATGTTTATTATCGAAAACTTGGAAAATGAAGAAAAATAAAGAAGAAAATTAAGTAGGAAAGGATTTGATAAGGATGTAAACTTAATTCAGCAGCCTATTTTTAGGGGTATATTATACTTTCATCATTAAAACCGTTAGTATGGATGTTTGCCAAAGATAATAGACAGTTTTGAAGAATGAAAAAATAGTACTACCTTCTATGTGTTATTTTAGTTCTTTTTGATTCTTACATTTAGATTTTACTTAACCTAAATTTCTTTCTTGTAAAAAATGGATTCACATTTATACATAGCTTTTAAAATTAAATGATCTGATCACATTACATAAAAATCATAGATAATAAAACCCCATAATGGTTAAAACAGGGACACAAGAATAAGAACCTAGGGGAGAATAAGTGTATAAGGGAATGTAGATTAAAGAGAAGCTGCTGGGCCTCTTGTCAGCTGAGGATGAAGACGGCAAATCATTAAGGTTTACTTTTATCTCATGTCAGCCATGTGATCATTTAGTATATCATCTCTGGTGTCAAGGAAAAAGTAATATTTCAGTAGAAATAGGAAAGTGAGCGGCATTATGTCGAGAGTACTAGCATGAGCATTTTCATTATTAATATTAATAATTATGAAGTAATCTACAGCCACTGATTGAAATATTCATTGCGAACTTTGCCTCATTTCAGGCTTTTCCTGTCTCAAAAGAGAAAACAAAAAACCCATTGCTGTCGAGTCGATTCTGACTCATCGCGATCCTATAGGACAGAGTAGAACTACCTCATGGGGTTTCCAAGGAGCAGCTGGTGGATTCGAACTGCTGACCTTTTGGTTAGCAGCCGAGCTCTTAACCACTGTGCCACCAGGGCTTCTTCCTGTCTCAAGGGAAGGCTATACTTCCTTTTTTCAGTGTTACTTAGCATTTTTCAAGCTTCTAAAAGGAGTATTTTCTATTAAAATCTTTCCATTTGTATAAAGAACTTTTTGTTCGTCATGGCTCATTGCATAATAAAAATTAGAAATATTTTGGCTCATAGGCTCAGAGCCAAGGACTAATTATAATTAGTACAGTAACATACCATCATGATAAATTACATCATTTATAAGGCATGTATGATATAGCTTACTAGGCCATTTAATGTCTGGGACATTGCAGAAGCTGTATTAGATAGTCTTTCAGTTGCAAATTATGGAAACTCAGGTGAAATAAAATTGACTATAATAATTCATATTAACTGGGAAGTTTCTGTGACTGATTTTAGGTTTGGCTAGGTCTAGGAACTCAAATGTCATCATGTCAGCCTGTCTTTATCTTTCTTTGTCTCTGTCTCTCTGTGTATCTCCTTCCTCACTATTCCCAACCCCTACCCCTGTCAACTCACCACTACTTTCACCTAGGATGGGCAAGAAGGGAGTGGAGGCAGAAGACTGCTATGGCCTATTTCCTCTTTTATGTGGAGCATAGAGTTCCTTAGTAGCTGAAGCTTGGAGCCCAAATAGGCCACTTACTATATAAAATAATCTGTTCTTTTTGATAATATCAGGAGACCACATCTTATAGAGATAGGGAATGAGGCCCCCTCCCCTTAATGGCATTGTTTTCTCTTAGACCACAGGCACAATCCATAGGCCACACGCATCAGCCATAGGCATCACACCACTGGGAGTGCACCAGGAGATAGCAGCGGGCAGGGTCCACACATACAGGAATCCATGAGCTGCTTTTCATTCTGAAGAGATGTATATATTTTATATGGCTTAGAAAAGAGTGCCTTAAACATAGGGTAAAAGTTAGCAGTTGTGGTGATAAATTATATGTAACCCTAGCATGTTAGATATGTTCCATTTCTCATCTTTTCCTGTTTAGAGAAACCAAGAATGCCCTTGTCCATGATGAGAACTGAAAAACCTGTAAAGTAATGAGTTAGCTGCATTAGAAACTCTTAAGTAGCCAGGGTGGATCCCTCACAAAGTCTTAAAGGAACTTTCTGGGGCATGATCAGTATCTGACTGCTGGGCCAACCAGTTTCTTGGATTAAGAACTATGTGTTTTGAGCAGCAGTCAGTTAAGGTGATCCTGATCTGGTTATCTACAAAGCCATGTGTAAGACTGAAGCACTTCAGGGACTTGTGAATTTTTTCATTCCTGTATTTTCCCAAATTACAGCAAGTAATAATTTATGGAATGTTATTTGAGATCAGTTCATTGGGCTAGATCATGTCAGGTGTATGTTACCAGAGAGCACAGTAAACACACAAGCATGTGAATCCATGAGTATTTGGCACAGAAATGATCCATAACATTTTCAGACTGTGGAGATGTTGGCTGGAAAGAGAATGCTAGTCTGAATCTGGGAAGTCAAGTGGTTTGTCAGGTTGAAGGATGATACAAGGTTTGGTACCGAATAGTTAGGCCTAAGGCATGGATCAAAAGGGCAGTTCTAAATCCAAGAGTGTGGTCCATCCATTGCAGTACCCCTCTTATCCTTTGCTGAGCTATCAGCATGTCTTAAAGGGATCAAAGACTGTTAAATAGATCTGCTTTCCTTCTGAGGTAACTTTTATTGAGTAGCTATAGTAAAGAAAATGGCATACTTCAGTAATGGGGAAACTTTTTTTTCTTGCTGTTATAATGAAGTATATGTTCAGAAAAGTGAAATATTGGTAAAAATGGAAGAATATATTTAAATATTATTTTGGTATTTTTTAATAAACTATTTTAAGTCTAGCTTTTATCTATAAATTTGACTTTGACATAGTATTAGCATCTTGGTTTGAGTTTAGAAGGAAGAAAGCTTTTTAAATTATTAATGGAGTTTTATCCAAATTTTGTCAGTTTCTCATCTACGATTTTTCACAGGCTTGACACAACTCTCATAGACTTTACTGACATGAAGTGCCAACGAGGGGATTTAAGCTTCATTTTCAATGGGGATGCGGCACCCTCTGAATCTTTTGTAGTATTAGACAATGAACAAAAAGTTTATCAGCGAATACACCATGAGGTGAGCACGTGTCTTATCAATATTCCTCTGAATGGTTAAAAGAATGACTATGTATGAAGCCAAGCCTCAGTGTACAGGTTTCCCTGCTATCCGAAAGTTGATCGTTCCTCTGAAACTTTTAATGAGCCGAAGTAGCATAATGTGAAGTAATTATCATTAATTTATAAGGAAAAAAAGTTTGAGCGTTCCCAGACCCAAAAAATAACCCACTAGTTATACCAAATAACACATAAAACCCAGGTGGCAGCTACAGAGGATGGTCCCTGTGGGGCTGTGGCCAGGGAACTTGTAGAATGCACCCAGGGGCTGCGCAGCAAGAGGGAGGCAACCACCGCCGCCTCCTCACTCCGTGGGAGGATGAGGAGCTGGAATAGGAGGAGGAGGAGGGGGCGGCAGCCAAGGAAGGCGAGAAGGAGATGGTGGCTTTGCGAGAGGAGCTGCTGGACTTTCTGACCAGGCTGCCCCTTGGCCCCGCCGGCCTTGGCTGCAGCGCCGTGGACCACGATTTGGATCTGCTGCCCACTTCGGGCACTTTGCGCTTGGAGTTCCCGGACTACTGCACCTACGAGGTTACCGAGATGATTGAGGGGGACTGGCACCCAGCTAGTATCACTGACCTGGTTTTCACCTACTAAGTCCATCATCAGTGGGGGCGTACAGGCCCCCAAACCAGCTGTTTACATACAGGAACGCTATTTTCCGCTTTTCGTCTTTTTTTGTAAGGAGATCTGTCTGACTGGAGTGAAGATTACTCTTATTGAGCAATGGGGAAGTAGTTTATGGAAGGCCTTAAAAGCCAGGTAAGATAACTTAGGATTCTTTGCAGTTGGCAACAGAGAATCATAGATTCTTAAACAAGGTATTGGTTTGATCCAAAAGTAATTTAGGGGAACTGTTCTTACGTATTTATTTCACTTTCCTTCCCTTCCTCCCTTCCTTTCTCAAACGTTTATTGAGGAAGCTTCTAAAAGCTAGACACTGCTAGGTGCTATAAGTGGTGTTATTGTAATAATTGTTGTTGTTGTTAGATGTCATGGCGCCATCCTCACAGTAGTTGCTGTGTTTGAGCCCATTGTTGCAGCCGCTGTGTCAGCCCATCTCATTGAGGGTCTTCCTCTTTTTCACTGACCCTCTACTTTACCAAGAATGATGTCCTTCTCCACGTACTGGTCTCTCCCGATAACATGTCCAAAGTACTTAAGGGGAAGTCTTGCCATTCTTGCTTCTAAGGAGTATTCTGGCTGTACTTCTAAGACAGATTTGTTTGTTCTTCTGGCAATCCATGGTATATTCAATATTCTTCACCAACACATAATTCATATGAATCAGTTCTTCTTCGGTCTTGCTTATTCATTGTCCAGCTTTCACATGCATATGTGGTGATTGAAAATACCATGGCTCGGATCAGGCATACCTTAGTCCTCAAAGTGACATCTTTGCTTGTTAACACTTTAAAGAGGTCTTCTGCAGCAGATTTGCCCAATGTAATACGTCATTTGATTTCTTGACTGCTGCTTCCATGGGCGTTGATTGTAGTTATAAAAAACCAAAAAGCAAACCTGTTGCTGTCGAGTCGATTCCGACTCATAGCAACCTATAGGACAGAGTAGAACTGCCCCACAGGGTTTCCAGGGAGCAGCTGGTGGATTCAAACTGCCGATCTTTTGGTTGTGGCAAAGTGGTTAAGAGTGCGGGCTGCCAACCAGATGGTCAACAGTTTGAATCTACCAGCCGCTTCTTGGAAACCCTGTGGGACAGTTCTACTCTGCCCTGTAGGGTTGCAGTGAGTCGGAATCGACTCGACAGCAACAGGATTGTAGTAATAGCATGTATTAATTATTATCATATATTAAGCATTAATTGCCAGCATATTGGGACTGTGTTTTACAGCTCTTCTCATAAGTCATTAAATATTTAAAATAATCTGTCAAAACTAGGTAGTAGTATTATCTTCATTTTACACATAGGAAAGTTGAGGTTTATAGATGTTAAGTAACATCTCCAAGATCTCACAGCTGGTATACAAGATGAATTGGAAAAGAAAGAAATTAGGAGTAGGAAATTATTTGAGAAGTTTTTAGAGTTACCCAATTGAAAGGTAATGATGATCTTGACTAGGATGGTATAAGTGAATCAAGAAGAAAGGAAAATTATGACATACTTCTCTAAGAATGAAATAATAGGATTTGCTGATAGTTTGGACATAATGAACTAAGAATAAAGATTTAAGGGTGAGTTTAGTGATTCTGTCTTGAAGAGTGGGATAATAGTGGTATCACCAATAGAACTGGGACATTTGGAAAAGGAAACAGGCTTCAGATTTTAGATGATGTTCATTTTGGGTCCATTGCTAAAATCATTGTATGTGTTTCAGCCTTGTCTTTGTAAGACTTCCCTGTAGTTATTTGCTATTATTGTAACTCAGTTTTAGAAACTTTTAATTTGAAATTGACCAATTGTTGTTTTCTTACATTTTTCTTTCTTACTCTACTTTGCTTTATTTTTTTTTCTCTGCCTACTTCTTAAATATTGGTGTATCCTTGATGTGATTCTCATTTTTACAAACTACCAGAATAATTTCTTCCATTTCCCAGCTTTAACTACATCCTGTATGTTGGTGATTCACAAGTACGTATTTGCACAACAGATTATTATTCTGAGAGGAGACCTCTTTATTTATATACATCATATGCATTACTTAACCTCCGCATATGTTCTGTGAAAGAGGACATTACGTGATTTGGACTTCGTGGGAACACTTCGTCCAAATCATAATGCCTGAGGTCACATGGCTTGTGTGGAGCTGCCGGCCTGAGCCTAGGCGACTGCTGCTCTCTGCCCTATGCTCTCCGTAATCATGTCCCTCTCCATGGGCACAGTGCTCCCAGTTGGGAAGAGGGGTGGAGGAGTGTTTGTTCCTGATCCTGTGGTGCTGGTGCCGCTTCCCCCCTTGGGCTGTTGCAGCGGTGGGGGCTGGAAGCTGAGCTCAGAGCGAGGGTGTGCAGCCCTGTTAGCTGAAGGAGCTTCCACCCTGAGATCCCCCACCTTCACTCAGCGTGGATAGGGGTCCTAGGTGTGCACACCTTCAGGAGGCCTCGGGGAAGATGGTGGCCCTAGGGGACAATCAAGAGTCCCCTCCTGCCCCGCCCCCTGTCAGTCTCTCTTCACTGGCTACACCTCCTGGAGCCCACCACCACCATGAGGCCCTGCTCCACCTCCGTGATCATCAACATGACACCCCCCACCACCTTCCGCCCTGATTTGTTCTCCCAGCCACAGCCAGAGGAGGAGCTGTCGGACCTTGATCCCCAAAATGTCTGAAGTCGAGAGCTGGAGAAACACCCCCGGCCTGATTCAGAGTCGGAGCCTGAGAAGGCTCAACTGTCTCCCCAGCCAAAGGTTCCTGAGGTGGGGGTAGGCCAGGACGCAAGGGTGCTAAAGAGCCTACTGAGGGCACGTCCTTGGAGACCCAAGTATGGGTACAACTTTGGCCGTGAGGCTGGACCCTGCATGCAGAAGAGACGCCTGGTGCATGATGCTCCTGCTGCAGCGAGCCCTGGGGGCCTGAGGCGGCCCCAAGAAGGCTGAACTGGGCAGCGGCTTTGGCTTGAGTGTGGCCTTCAGGGACTGACTGGGTGGTACGCTGGGCCTGCTGTGAGATGTGCCACAGCTGCAGGAGCTTCAACTACAACCCCTTGCTGCTGAAGCACCATCACATCCTCATGGGTGAGAAGCCCTACGTGTGCCACGAGTGCGGTAAGGCCTTCAACCGCAGGTCACACTTCATGCAGCACCTACGCATCCACAACTGGGAGAAGCCCTACAAGTGCGGCCAGAGCTTGCAGCTTATCCAGCACCAGAGGATCCACTACCCGGGGTAGGCAGGGCAGCCAGGCAAGGCGGAGAGGACCACCGGCCTAGGTTAAGGCTTCAGAGGGAAAGGCTCCTGCTCGCCCATCCTCCCACGCAGCTGCCCAGCTCCGCATGCCAAGTCTCCAATAAATCCTTCCTGGTTGCTGGAAAAAAAATCTTGCAGAAGCGCGGGCGTATATGCGGTGGGACGTTGTTCCAGTGGACATTGTACTCCGCACACCTGTATATCTGAATACTCAGCTCTTTGAAACTGAGCTGTCTTTTCCCCATACCTACCCTTTTTTCTGCTTGCTTTTTTATGGAAGACATCATTCTTCATTCAGCCAGAAAAGCAGGAATTATTTTTGACATATTTTCTTGTACTCTATGTTACCTGATTAGAGAACATGTCTGGTCATTTCAGTTTCCTTAATGTCTTATAATTGCCGTTTTTTATTCTTTTACTACTGTAATTTAGGTATCCATTATCTCCCAACTGAACTGTTGCATAAGTACTATAAATGATCTTCCTGGTTCCTTTCTTGTTTGGTTCCAAATTACTGTACATATTGGAGCCAGATTGAACTTTAAAAGGAAACTCATGGAGCGCTCATGACTTAAAGATACTTTAAAAGCCTAAAGGTTAAAATCCAGACTCCGTAGTATGGCATGGTTCCTTTTGTGATCTGGCTTGTGTTCACTTTTCCAGCCTTTTTCTTATCTTGCTATTTTAGATACCCTTATACTGAACCCTTGCCAGTTTGTCACATGTGCCTACCTATTCAGGGCTTCATTCCTTTTTTTTTTCCTACTTCCTAGAATCTTCTTCTTATACCCTCACACCTATTGGGTACTTAAATTTCCTTCCCTGCCAGGTAAAAGTGACCATTATGTTTTTTATGGTACCATAAAATCTGGACCCATACAGCTTTTAATGCTATGTTTGTTTACATAGCTTCTCCTTCTATTAGACTAAGTTCCACAGGGCATGGGGTTCTTTTAGTTGTATTCTCTTCAGTACCTAGTATAGCACCAGCATGTTCTAGACCAGGGGTCAGCCAAGATTTTCTGTAATGGGACAGATAGTAAATATTTTAGATATATTTGCAGACCTTTGTCACAACTATTAAACCCTGCTGCTATTAGCATAAATGCAGCCATAGATAATATGTAAATGAATGAGCATGGCTATATTCCAATAAAATTTTATTTATAGAAACAGGGTAAACTATGGCTTGCTGGCCATAGTTTACTGACCCCAGTTCTAGACTGTGATATATTTACTAAATAATTTGACCTATTGCATATCAAATGACAATAGGGTAGCTAACTAGGCAACAGGTGAGTTGAAAATATGGTGCTGAAAGAGAAACCAGAGATTAAGGCTAGTAGCGGAAGTATTAGCTGATGTTGTAGTATTGGTGAGATCACCAAAGGACTGATATTTAGGGTAGTTGTGTGTATTTGTGTGTGTATTTTGTCATGCCTAAGATACAAAAAGCTAGATTTTGAGCAGTAATCCTCAGGACAGGAAATACTTGTTATTTATCCTAATATGCATATGTAAACAATAACTGTTCAGTAAATGTTTGTTGAATGAATGCAGCTTACAGCAGATCTTTTTCAATGATGTTGTTAGGAGATGGTCAGTCTCTGATTTTTATGGAAGAGTTCTGTCCCAAAAGTTTATTTGAAAGTAGGGTATTTGGAACTTAAAGCAAACTTCTTCATAGATGGTATTATACGTAGTGTTCAGTTCTCAAGCTAATCCATAAAATCCCAGTTAATTTATAATGTATTTAAAGTATAATTTTTAATAGTCCGTACACCCTAATTCAGCCAACATTTTTCTTCAGAAAATTGTATTCAGAATTAGTTTGGGTTACCAGGAATACATTTTCACCTATTAGTGCCTTAGCTCTAATGTCAGGATTGTCAATCCCTCACTTGTAATGGTGGAGGAAATGTATCAGTCCCAAGCCTTTGCTGCTGTTTTCTATAGATTCATAGGTTCAGGAAGGGAGTATATCTGAATGAAAGTTTGGTGGTGAAAAATAGAAAATGATGGGGGAATAGAGCCTCTAGCCAGTTTAAGCCCTATGGACAGTTCTCATTTCCCTCATCAGCTCTCCAGATTCTGCCTTTTCTTCCCCCTCTTCCAGGGTCCTAAAAATTAGTTACAGTGTTTCTCCTGGCCTATTATGAAATAGAACTGAGTATTATACCTGTTCACATTACCTGTCTGTAGATAATCATTTATTCTTCTGTCCTTGAAGCAAGCACAAAGCTGCTTTTCTTTTTCTCCCTCATCTCACAAGTAATTGATCATTTATTATGTGCCAACACTAGGGAATATGTAGAGGGTAAAAATGCTGAAGTAAGGTAACTTGTTAAATTTAAAAATGTGGGTTGATAGTCTTCCTTTCTGTAAGGAATACAAAGAAAATCCCCCCCCCCACTCCTTTCCTCACCCTTCTCCTCCACTCCTCTCCCCTCTCTTTTCACTCAGAGCTTATTTGGAAAAGAAAGGCTCAAATGATGATGGTGGGTCTTTGGATTAAAAAGAACTAAAGTAAGATTTACCTATGTTTAAAAGCAAAATCCCACATAGGTATTTTGTCTCAGGTCTGTGAACTTAATTCTTAAAGTAATCTTTTAAAATTGTTCTGTAGACTATGTATTTCTCTAATGGTTATCTAGTATTGTTTCCGTTACATATCTTTAACGTGTAAGAGTTCTGTATTTCATGTGTCCTGCTTTATGGATTCATAATCTTTTAAAGTAAATAAATTTTTAATTTATTTGAGAAGATACTATATATGAAGTTTAAATTTCTGTAATTTTTATAGTAAGTAGCACTTCACATTGTTTGGAATCTGTCTTTTTTCTTTTTTTGAAATCCGTAACATTTTACTTGTTGATGTTTTCATATGTAGCATAAAAAAACCTACATTCATGTATTTAACTTTTGCCCTCACCTCCACCCCAGGAATCAGAGATGGAAACAGAAGAAGAGGTTGACATTTTAATGAGCAGCGATATTTACTCTGCAACTTTATCAACCAAATCAATTTCTTTCACACGTGCCCAAACAGGATGGCTTTTTCGGGAAGATAAAACAGTATGTGCAAATCTAGACTTTCAAACTTAAAAATTTGTTTCATATTTAATGTCACCAAATAATGTGATGAAAATATTAGAAGAAGTAGCTTACTGAATTGTCTTCAAGTAGTTTATTCTCTCTTCCTTGAATTATAATCACAGTTCAGATAGATAGTTACAATGGTTAGGTACAGAGTTGGGACATATTCTTAGAAAAGTTAGACGAGAGAGTTTAGCTCATATGAATTCTATGCTGAGAAGGATTCTTGTTGTCAGTTGCCTCGTTATTATACAGGAAACAGTGTCTTCACATGATTCCATTACAGTTCTGATGTGCCATAAGAAGACCCCAAGGAGGAATGCACTTGAATTTATTTCCTTGGACCTTTTTGTATCTCTACTTTTAGACTTTTAAGCCTTTTATTTACTCAGTATCTGTTTGTCAGTATCGTATGTATATGATTCAGATTAAATAAACCTACATTTCTACAACTCTTGTTAAGTTAAATCACAGTGGAGGTTTCCCCATTAGTGAATTGTAAAATCTTTCCATAATTCCCGTTTTATCTGTCAGTAGCAGGTTATTTAAGACTGTTCTAAAATATATTCATATATTTTGAATTCGATGTATGAAGAAGCATTTTTATAAAATTTTAAAGTCAAGAATAAGTAACCACATCAAGTAAGGGCCAGAATTTATTGGTTTAAAAAATTATTTTTGATACACACAGTAAGTTGACATGAATATATTCCCGATGAAAAAACAACCTTATACATAAAACTAAAAAGTACCCCTAGACCACTACCCACAATCCTAGTGCCCCTCCCAGAAGGTTATCAGTTTGTATATCCTCTAGGCCTTTTGTATGATTTACATACGTAAATATATATCCATAGTAATATGTAGCTTTTTTTTGTTTTTGTTTATTTTTCCATAAATGGTATCATGTTTTATCTATTATTTTACAACTGGCTTTTTTTCTTTCTTTAGTACATCTTAGAAGCCTTATCAGTATATATAGTGTTACTTTATTCTTTTTAGCAACAGCATAGTATTCCATAGTATGGATATACTATAATTTATTTACCCTATTTCTTATTTGTAGACATTTAGATTATGTCCAGTTTTTTGCCATTATAAGTAATGTTGTGTTTACCATCCTTTTACACACCTTTGCATTAGATTTTATCTGTGATAGAAATGGAATGGCTGGGTATAGAGAATACACACTTAAAATTTTAATTTTTATGATAATTCTTAATGTTTTTTCATTATAAAGTTTGAGAAACTGATAATTACCAACCAAGTATCTCCTAGCCACAGAAAAATTCTGACTGTGAGATTTAGGCTCATTAAATTTCCTCTCTAAGCCTATTTGGCAACAAATGGCATTATAGGATTCCCAGTTGTGAGATCCTACATTGCAATCCATTTGTTGGCTTTGAAGTCTTACTTGTTTGTACTCTATTCTTCTGGACAGCATTAGATGGATCACTTCGAGAGAAGATAAAAATTGAAACTGCTATTCATCTAGTGCTACTGCTAAGCAGCTTAAAGCTCTTGAACAGCATCTAGGTGATCTTCTTAAATCTTTGACAGGTAAGGAGGGAGTCAGTAATGCTTATGGTTCCCATTTTGTAGGTAGAAACAAATGCAGAATTCTTTGCTTTCTGGTAATCTGTACGGAGGCTACTGAAAGCAAGGTAGACTTGGACACAACTACAAACATATCGTTTTGAAATGCCAGAAAACAGCAGCAGGAGGATAATGAAGTGATTTGCAGGCTGATAGAGATGGAAGCTTTTCAGTGAAGTTATTGATCACTTTTATTGATCACTTTTTTTTAAGTAAAGTATTTCAAACTCTTAGCATCTGTAGGTCTGAAAAATGTTAAGGTTAGTGTTGAAGGATTAGAAGGACTTTACTGAAAGAAAATAACTATTTTCTTGATATCCTTTTTACCACTTGGGTTTCCTGATCCCCAGCACACCTCCTCATCTGTAAATTTAAATACTTAATGATATTGGTGAGGAAGACTGCTCTCTTGTTCTGCCTTCTTTGTTGAAAGCATAACTATAACTTGAAGTTTAGTCCTGTTAGAGAATATTCGAACAGGTAATTAATTGTAATTGTTCTAGAGATTCCTATGTAACTTGGGCCATTTATTTATTTTTATTCCATATTTTTTTTCTATCTATAAAATGGGAACAGTAATTATCCCTGACCCCTCCTTATTACTCATATTTCACTATCAGCTTAATATTTCAGATAGCTTTGTGCTCTTTGGGAATAGATTCTAAAGGAATATTATGTGATATTTTTGTTTAGTTGTAACTCACTTGCTGATTGATTATCATACTTCTTTGTGAATTTAAAATTTTCCTTTAAAATTTGAAGTGTAAAAATGTATATGTGTATATATTTTTCACTTAATAGGATGTATAAATAATTTAATAATTTCAAGTACCAAAGGGATATGTCTTTTTACCTAAATGTTACATGTTTATGGAAAAATATATTACCTTGAAACTTTTTTTTTAATTTAAAGCAAACTTACTTTAAATTTTATTGTTTTGAAATATTTGATTTTGTTTTAGGAAAGAGTAGGAAACTTTTTGGCAGACTTTTATCTCGTGAATGGACTTGTTTTAGAATCAAGGAAAAGAAGAGAACACCTCAGTGAAGAGGATATTCTTCGAAATAAAGCCATCATGGAGAGTTTGAGTAAAGGAGGAAACATAATAGAACAGAATTTTGAGGTATAATTACTTTATAATTTTTTTTTCTTCTAATTTATAATATTGTAAGGTGAGGGGATAGATTTCATTCAGTGCAGTTTTATATCCATACACTCACAGGTTTTGTTTACTATGATTACCTTTTATTTTTCTGTGGATCTTTACTGATGTCATCATTATGGAAAAAAAGAAAATGTGGCCTTTTGTGATTTTTTTGTGAGTCAGTTTTTGATCTTTGAGTCTTCGTTTATTAATAAATAGATTAAAGTCATTTTATAAACATGAAACCCAGTAATTGTTAATCCATGTCTTTGCGTATATCCTTCCTGCTTTACCAAATGAAGCCTACTTCTTTGAAGGCCCAGCTAAGGCTCCACCTTCTTTCTGAAGTCATCTCTAGCTTATACCTTCCCATATATTTATTTTTTAATTTAGCATGTGTTTATTGAGAATATACTTTATGCAAAGAATTGTATGAAAATAGGGAAAGAGAAGGGAAAATTTGGAAATACAAAGATATATGAGATATAGTAACTGCTCTTAAAATCTTATTCCCTAATAGGATGAATAAGATGGGTTCTTAAATTTATTTTTATTTTGACACTTTTAGATTTATAAAAAGTACAGGTTAGTACAAAGCATTCCTGGGTACCCTTCACCAAGACTCCCTAAATGTTAACATTTTACCACATTTGTAAATGTAAATCACAGTCGTAAGATTAAAGGCTGCTATGTAGTATGGTCAAGGAGGCTTGAATTCCTTGAATGTTTAGTCTCTACTATGGTATTGTGCCAGATTATATGTTGTAGGGATGGACACACTTTCCAGAATAGTGTGCCAGATTCCAACTAATTCATGATAGTACTGTGTGTGCTAGGAAACTATTTTCTTGTTTTGAAAGTTCATGTATTGAATGCATCAACAATAGTTTAGTTAAATAAGTACAGTATCTAAAGTGTTTAAGACGTCCTATTATGGTAAATGTTTACGTTAAAATTGTAATCATGCCAGTTTAGAGTGAGCCTGTCCCCTTCCTGCCAAATTTATTTGCACTTCTCTCTCTTTTTTTTTTTTTGGCCTTGGGATGTAGCCTCACCAGACTGCTTTATCCAGAAGCCCCTTGTATTTACTGTTCTCTTGGTCAGTAGGAAATATAGGATATGATGTACTCAGGAAACAGAAACAGAGATGACCTTGAGAGAGGAATGGGAATGTTGAACTCAATCTTTGTCAAAGCCTTTACCGCTTCCATTGCTGACCAGACAGAAAGACCATCTCTTTGTAATTCTATTGTGATTTAAGTTTTATTAGTGTTCTTTTAAAAATTATTTTGTTGTTGTGATGGTTATTGCTGCCTTTGTTTAATTTTGGCAGCAAACCATTTTGAGATGAGTGCGTAATTTAAGCAAAACTTTATAACATGGGTTGTTTGTCAGTTGTTTCTAATTGTGTGGTATATGCATGTTTAAACTTAAATTAGACAACTTGATTTCTTTAAGGGCAGAGATTGTGCACTTGAATTGTGAGAGGGGTCTTTAATATTTTAAGTAGCTATAGTTTTTCAAGTTAAAATTAAAACAGCTTAATCCCAGATAACTATATAAATAGAACAAAATAATATGAATTAAATAATGACGCTTTTAACTTCTAATCAGAAATTAGACGGTTCCTTTGTGAGTCATAGCACATTGAACTTTATAGTGTTTGATAAATATTTTAGAATCAATTTATCAATTTCTACTAAAAGAAAACCCTGGTGATGTTTTGATTAAGATGGCATGGGGTCTAGAGTTCAATCAATTTCTACATGAAAGTCTGCTGGAATTTTTTTTTTTTTTAATTAACCTTTTTCTTTTGAGATAATTGTGGATTCACAAACAGTTTTAAGAAATAATACAGAAGAATTTCATGTAAGGTTCACCCAGTTTTCCCATGGTAGCATATGGCAAAACTAGTACATCACAATCTGGATCTTGGCATTTATAGTCAAGATACAGAACATTTCCATCACCACGAGATCTCTCGTTTTCCCCTTTTATTTGTTGTGTGCCATCCAGTCGATTCCGACTCATAGCAGACTCATGAGTCTTAGTTAGCTAGTGCTGATATAACAGAACTACCACAAGTGGATGGCTTTAACAAACAGAAATTTATTCTCTCACAGTCTAGGAGGCTAGAAGTCCGAATTCAGGGCGCCAGCTCTAGGGAAAGACTTTCTCTCTTTGTTGGCTCTAGGGGAAGATCCTTGTCTCCTTTCAACATCTCTGGGCCCAGCTTTCCTTAGAAGTCTCCATGTGTCCTGGCATCAATCTTCCCCTGGGTCTAGGAGGTTCTCAGTGCAGGGATTCTTGGTGCAAAGGACGTGCTCTGCTCCCGGCTCTTCTTTCTTCGTGGTAGTATGTCTCTCTCTCGCTGCTTGCTTTTCTCTCGTTTTATCTCCTGTAATATAAAAGGTGATGCAGGCTACACTCCAGGGAAACTCCCTTTATATCAGATCATGGCTGTGACCTGTGTAAGTGTGTTGCATCCCATCCTAATCCTCTTTAACGTAACTTAATCTGGCCTCATTAACCACAGGCAGAGATTAGGTTTTACAACACATAGGACAGTTACTTCAGATCACAAAATGGAGGACAACCACACAATACTGGGAATCACGGCCTAGCCAAGTCGACACATATTTTAGAGGGGACACAATTTAATCCATGACACCATGTGACAGAGTAGAACTGCCCCGTAGGGCTTCCTAGGCTGTAATCTTTACGGGAGCATATCACAAGGTCTTTTCTCCTGTGGAGCAGCTGGGTTGATTCAAAATGCCAACCTTTCAGTTAGCAGACAAGCACTTTAACCATTGTGCCACCAGGGCTCCTTTCTCCTTTTATAGGCATAGCTATTTTCCCTTCTCCCCCGTCCCTTACCCCTGGCAACCACTAGTCTGTTCCTCCATTTCTTAATTTTGTTGTTTCAAGAATGTTATATAAATGGAATCATATAGTATATAACCTTTTGAGTTTGGCTTTTTCTTCATTTGGCATAATTCCCTGGAGATTCATTCAAGTTGTTGCATGTATCAGTAGTTTGTTCCTTTTGTTGCTAAGTAGTATTCCATTGTATAGGTGTATAGGTGCACTATAATATGTTTAACCATTCATTTGTTGAAAGATAATTGGGTTGTTTGCTTTTTGTTTTTGACTATTATGGATAAAGTAGCCACAAATATTCCCGTAGAGGTTTCTGTGTGAACCTAAGTCTTCATTTCTCTGAGGTAATTGCCCTACAGTGTAATCTTTCGGTCATATGGTAGTTGCATGTTTAGTTTTGTAAGAAACTGCCGAACTGTTTTCCATTTTACATTCTTAAGAGCAATGTATGAGTGATCCAGTTTCTCCTTATCTCTAGCATTTGGTGTTGTCACTATGTTTTATTTTACTCATTCCTATAAGTGTGTAACAATAATCTCATTGTAATTTTAATTTTAATTTCCCAAATGGCTAATGATGTTGAACATCTTTTCATGTGCTTATTTGCTGCCATCTTTATATTCTCTTTGGTGAAATGTCTTTTTCCCATGTTCTGAATGGCTTGTTCAGTTTTTGACAGTTGAGTTATGAAATTTCTTTATATATTAGTTCTTTGTTAGATATGTGGTTTGCAAATATTTTTCCCACTCTGTGGATTCTTTTCACCTTCTTTTTTTAATTGAAAAAATATTTTTATTTAATTAAGATATGTAATTTCCAATAGAAATGTGCTTTTTATACTAAATATTATTGTTTTGGGCAACCTTATGAATGTCAGAGTAGAACTGTGCTTAGTTTTTTTTAAATAATATTTTATTATGTTTTTGGTGAAGGTTTACATAACAGTTTAGGTTCCCATTCAACAATTTCTACACAGGTTGGTCAGTGAGATCTGTTACGTTCTTCACAGTGCATGAACATTCTCATTTCTGTTATGGTTGTTCCATTTCCATTAATTTAGTTTCCCTGCCTTCTTACATTCTCATCTTTGTTTTAAAGTAATTGTTGATAGAAGTTCTTTTTGTTGTCATTCTTTTTTCCATTTTTAAAAATGTTTTACTGTGTTTCACGTGAAAGCTTACACAGCAAATTAGGTTCTCGTTTAACAATGTTTGTAAAAATTGTTCTGTGACATTGGTTACAATTTTCGTAATGTATCAGCATTCTTATTATTTCCATTCTGTTTGTTCTGTTTTCATTGGTCTACCTTCCTGGCCCCTCCTTTCCTTCTTATCTTTGTTTTTGGGTAAATGTTGACTGTTTGGTCTTGTATAGTTGGTTGTTTAAGGGATCATATTCCTCACAGGTGACATTGTTTATTTTATAAGTCAATCAATTATTTGGCTGAAAGGAGACCTTCTGAAGTGGCTTCAGTTCCATGTATTTTATGTATTTTCAGTTCCAGGGCATTTTAGGGCAGTAGTCTCAGACAGCAACATGCTGTGGTTCATGGGGGCTATTAGTCCTGTGGACTAGTTTCTTCTTTCAGTCTTTGGTTTCCTTCATTCTTTTACTCCAGACAGGAAGAGACCAATAGTTGTATCTTAGATGACCACTCACAAGCTTTTAAGACCTCAGACACTACTCACCAAACTAGGATGTAGAACATTATCTTTATGAACTATGATATGCCAATTAACTGAGTTGTCCCACGAGACTATGGTCCCAAGTCCTTTAATCCAGAGAACCAATCCTGTGAGGTGTTTGTATATGTGTAGGAGGTCTCCGTAACTGTACCCCCTATGTGCTTTACTGTATATGAATGTATATGTTGCACACCCAAACATGTATATACTTATACCTACAAATATACTTATATATGCACATGCATGTACTCACATACACCTTCCTATACACATATAGGAGCCCTGGAGGCTCAGTGGTTAAGAGCTTGGCTGCTAACCAAAAGGTCAGCAGTTCGAATCCACCAGCTGCTCCTTGGAAACTCTGTGGGGCAGTTGTGTTCTGTCTTATAGGGTCACTATGAGTCAGAATTG